ATTTGCTTCATGCCGGCTAAACTGAGCCTTGGTTGCTCCACACCCTATCACAGAGCAGAGAACTTTTCAAAGCTGTTGTGGTTCACTTCAGTTGAGAGACAGGACAACTTCTCCTCCTGGCTTAGAAAGCTTTCCTAGACCCGCAATAGCCCTCCCTGATAACTGACGTGCAATTATAAACTCTGAGAGCCTCTAAAACTATGAGGGGTGAGTTTGGTAAGGGATTTTCCTCTTCCCCTTTCTGGGCCAGTCACTCAAGTTCTTACTGCACAAAATCTTTAAGTAGGAAGCATCCGCAAGAGACTATCCAGTCGGATTTCTAACCCAAGTGTGGAAATCCAGCATGCAGAGCTGGAGGGCTTGCCTGGGCCCAAATCCTGGCACTACCACTTGGCAGCAGGATGACTTTGAGGAAGTTATCTAACTTCTGTAAGCATCAGTTTCCCTATCTATAAAATGGGGATAATGTTAGTACCTACCTCATAGTATTCTTAAGAGGGAATATCCAAAGAAGTGCTCAGCACACTGTCAGGAATATAGTACATACTCAATAAATGTGCCTACTGTTGTTATTAAGGTCATGTCATCTTTGCTCAAATATTTTCAGTGATGGGGAGCTAACCACCTCATACCAGCAGCTTACTGGATAGCTCTAGTTCAAGGAATCTGAGAATTAGAGATATGAGACCAATTAGTTCAATCTCACAGGCAAGAAATCTAAGGCAGAGAGATTAAATAATTTATCCAAGGGCATAGCACTAGTAAAGGGCAGAATCAACGCTAGAACTTCAGGGCTCCCAACGTCTACCCCAGTGTCCCTTCCTTTCTTGAATTGTGTCCAAGTCCACCTCCTGTGATTTTTCCCTCTGGGTCCAACTTTCTCCCTGTCATGGCCCCTGGCAATAGATACTGGATCCTTTTAAAACATGAGTGTTGAAGTGAGATTTCACTTCGTCTATTATCAGACTTTAATAAATACTAGAATTCTTGTCTTTTTCTTGGCACTTGTAAGTACTCCAGAGATCCAGAAAAGCTGCCTTGTATAAACATGGCATGGCTGAGCTATTTCTTATATTTCCTTTTCACATTCTGTTAGAGTGATCATGACACACATCTAGCTATATTCTCTTATCTGGTCTTATTATGAGTAACATGGTATTCATCCTTCAGTCTATCCATTTGTTGCTCAAAATAAGTCCCTACTCTTTGCCAAGATACTGTGGATACACAAACAAAAAGACATGCTCTCTGCTCTCCAGGTGCTAACGGAGAAGTAGAAGGATGGATCCATAAATGACGATAATTAATACAATGGAGACAGGTGCATGGTTCTCTAGAAGCATAGAGGAAGGACTTTTAATCTGTCTTGTGTTAGGGGTGCCGGTAGGGATGTGGGTGGATCCAGGAAGAAAGTCAGCTGAGGAGGTGATGTGTGGCCGTTTGGAGGCAAGTGGTTCCATTCCTGTGACAGACGCTGGCTAGTTGTTCAAGAATCTGTCTCCTCTTCTTCCTAGACATACCAGCCCTTCTTGTGGCCAGGAGGCCACATGACTGAGTTTTAGCCAGTAAAATGTAAGCAGAAGTGATGCATGCTACTTCAAGGCTGGGCCCACAAATTCTCCGAAATGGGATTCTTTGTGTGCTTTCTCCATCTATTGGCTAGATGCAGACAAGGACAGGGAACTGGAAGCCGCATGCTGTGGATGGTGGAGCCACAAGACGGAAGGGGCTGGGAAGAGGGCCTCCTGCTGATCAGAACACGTGTGTCAGGCTTTATGGATGAGAGAAATAAACCTCCATGATGTTTGAGCCCTTACACATTTTGGGGTTAATTTTTTGTTGTTGAAGCAGTTGGTATTACATCTCCTACTGCAATGACTAAACTCAGAAGTTAGAATTTGTTTACACCATATTCAAACCAACCAAACCAGCCAAGCCAGTCTGACAAAGATACAACTAGTAACCCTGGCTCCTTAGTCTACCAGACAATGAGCTGTCTTGGGAGCTAGACTCACAATATGTTCCTTTCCTGGAAAATTCCATTTGAGATATATTTGGGCACTTATCCTTAAAGAAATCATGTTAGCCCTGATTGAAATGTTCCTGTTTCTCATAGATAACATGGCTTTCTCTACAGCTGGTTGCTGTTGCTAAAAATCTACAGCTTGCTTCTTTATTTCCTAAGCAAAGAGGAAAGAGCAGGAAGCAACTTTACTCCTTATAAAGAGAAGGGAAAGAGGACTGGCAGCTTACGGATGAGTGGAAAAGACAAAGAAGGAAGAGGATTTTTTGATTTTTGGGAGTTTTTCCTCCAGTTGGCTGGGCTTTCCACATCTCCAACTTGATCTTAATCAGATCACATCATATTTCACTATATTTTTATTTTCACTTTTGACAGTTCTGCCACAAAATGGTGCACGGACTTCAATCAAATATGGAATAAATCGAATAAGGATACAATCAAATAAAGAATAAACTGGAGGGGCCAGCCCCATGGCCTAGTGGTTAAGTTTGGTGTGTTCCACTTCGGCAGCCTGGTTTGGTTCCCAGAGAACGGACCTACATCACTCATCAGCGGCCACGCTGTTGTGGCGACCCACATACAAAATAGAGGAAGATTGGCATAGTTGTTAGCTCGGAAGAATCTTTCTCAGCATAATAAATAAATAAATAAATAAACTGGAGAATTTGAAAGAAAAGAGAAAGATGTCTGGATATTGACCTTCCTGTGGTACGTACATACACGACACATTTTCTACTTATTCATTTATGCATCTGTATTACTTACCTACTGCTAAGCAACAAATTATTCCAAAACCTGGTGGCTTACGACATCAGTCATTCATCATCTCACAAATTTCCTGAAGGTCAGGAATCTGGGTATGGCTTAGCTGGATGATTCTGGCTCAGGGTCTCTCATGAGGTTGCAGTCAAGATGTCAGCCTGGGCTGCAGTCATCTGAGGGCTTGACTGTGGCTTGTGGATCCGATTCCAAGATGGCTCACTCACATAGCTGTTGGCCAGGGGCTTCAGTTCTTCAGAACATGGACCATAGGGCCACTGACTACACATCAGCTCACTTCACCCAGAGTGATTCAAGAGAGAATGAATGAGGAGGAAACCACAGTGCCTTTTATGACCCAGCCCCTGAAATCACACACCATCACTTCTGCTTAATTCTTTTCATTAGAAGTGAGTCACTAAATCCAACCCACACTCAAAGGGACAGGAATTAAGTTCCAACTCTTGAAAAGAAGAGCATCAAAGAATTTGTAGATGTATTTTAAAGTCACCACAGAATCCAGTAAGGCATACCTCATTTTATTGAGCTTCGCTTTACTGTGCTTTGCAGCTATTATGTTTTTTTTACAAATTGAAGGTTTGTGGCAACCCTGCATCGAGAAAGTCTATCAGCACCGCTTTTTCAAACAGCATTTGCTCACTTCATGTCTCTGTGTCACATTTTGTTAATTCTCACAATATTTCAAACTTTTTCATCATTATTATATTTGTTATGGTGATCTGTGATCAGTGATCTTTGATGTTACTATTGTCATTGATTTTGGGGTGCCACAAACTGTGCACATATAAGACAGTGAACTTAATCTATAAATGTTGTGTGTGTTCTGACTGCTCCAGTGACCAAATTGTTCCCTGTCTCTCTCCCTCTCCTCAGGCCTCCCTACTCCCCCGAGACACAACAATATTGAAATTAGGCCAATTAATAACTCTACAATGGCCTCTAGGTATCCAAGTGAAAGGAAAAGCCGCACATTTCGCACTTTAAATCAAAATATAGAAATGATTAAGCTTAGTGAGGAAGGCATTTTGAAAGGCGAGGAAGGCTGAAAGCTAGGCCTCTTGCACCAAACAGTTAGCCAAGTTGTGAATGCAAAGGAAAAGTTCTTGCAGGAAATTAAAAGTGCTACTCTAGTGAACACACAAATGATAAGAAAGAGAAACAGCCTTGTTGCTGATATGGAGAAAGTTGTAGTGGTCTGGATAGAAGATCACACCAGCCACAGCATTCCCTTAAGCCAAAGGCTAATCCAGAGAAAGGCCCTAAATCTCTTCAATTCTATGAAGGCTGAGAGAGGGGAGGAAGCTGCAGAAGAGAAGTTTGAGGTTGGTTCATGAGGTTTAAGGAAAGAAGCAGTCTCCATAACATAAACGTTCAAGGTGAGACAGCAAGTGCTGGTGTAGAAGCTGCAGCAAGTTCTCCAGAAGATCCAGCTAAGATCATTAATGAAGGTGGCTACACTAAACAACTGATTTTCAGTGTAGATGAAACAGCCTTTATAATGGAAGAAGATGCCATCTAGGACTTGCATAGCTAGAGATGAGGCTTTAAAGCTTCAAATGACAGGCCTATCTTGTTAGCGACTAATGCAGCTGGTGACTTTAAGTTGAAGCCCGTGTTCATTTACCATTTTGAAAATCCTAGGGCCCTTAAGAATTATGATAAATGTACTTTATAAATGGAACAACAAGGCCTGAATGACAGCACATCTGTTTCCAACATGGTTTACTGACTATTTAAGCACACTGTTGAGACCTACTGCTCAGAAAAAAAGATTCCTTTCAAAATATTACTCCTTATTGACAATGCACCTGGTCACCCAAGAGCTCTGATGGAGATGTATGAGATTAGTGTTGTTTTCATGCCTGCTAACACAACATGCATTCTGCAGCCCATGAATCAAGGAGTAATTTTGACTTTCGAGTCTTATTATTTAAGAAATATATTTTGTAAGACTATAGCTGCCAGAGATAGTGATTCCTCTGATGGATCTGGGCAAAGTCAATTGAAAACCTTCTGGAAAGGATTCACCATTCTAGATGCCATTAAGAACATTCATGATTCATGGGAAGAGATTAAAACATCAACCTTAAAAGAAGTTTGGAAGAAGTTGATTCCAACCCTCACGGATGACTTTGAGGGGCTCACGACTTCAGTGGAGGAAGTAACTGCAGATGTGGTGGAAATAGCAAGAGAACTAGAATTAGAAGTGGAGCCTGAAGAGGTGACTGAATTGCTGCAATCTCATGACAAAACTTTAATGCATGAGGAATTGCTTCTTATGGATGAGCAAAGAAAGTGGTTTCTTGAGATGGAATCTACTCCTTGTGAAGATACTGTGAAGTCTGTTGAACTGACAGCAAGGAATTTAGAATGTTACATCAACTTAGTTGATAAAGAGCAGCAGCACGGTGTGAGAGGATTGACTCCAATTTTGAAAGAAGTTCCACTGTGGGTAAAATTTTACTGTGGGTAAAAATGCTATCAAACAACATCACATGCTACAGAGAAATTCTTCTTGAAAGGAAGAGTCAATTAATGCAGCAAACTTCATTGTTGTCTTATTTTAAGAAATTGCCACGGCCACCCCAACTTTCAGGAACCACCACCCTGAGCAGTCAGCAGCTATCAATATGGAGGCAAGACCCTCCACCTGCAAAAAAAATTATGACTCTCTGAAGGCTCAGATGATGGCTAGCATTTTTTAGCAATAAAATGTTTTAAATTAGGATATATACATTGTTTCTTTAGACATAAAAAACATAATAGACTACTGTATAGTGTAAACATAACTTATACCAAAAAATTTGTGTGACTCACTTTATTGCAATATTTGCTGTATTGTGGGGGTCTGGAACTGAACCCACAACATCTCAGAGATAAGCCTGTATTTATATAGTACCTTCTTTGTGCCAGGCACCATTTGAGGCACTGGAGACCCAGGAGTAAAGAAACAATGACTACTTCAACAGATTATCTGTCATGAGCTTTAGCAATTGGTGTTAACTGATCAGCTTGGAGATATTTTTCCAGTCCCTTTTCCCCACTATAGGCTATAATATCAGACAGCTAACCAGTTACCTTTGCTGATTGAGTGTCTACTATGTCTTGGACAGCACAAAGAAAGAAAATATTATATATGGAATGTCTAGTTGAGGGCACATCCCATTTATCATTGTCCACCTGATATTTCTCCATCAGACACATAACATACACATTAAGATATGTTTCATACTGTGTACTGATGAGCATCAAAGAGACCCTTATGTAAAAATTCTGTTTTCTCCCAAACGTTCCTCTTGATACATTGCAGGTAGAGTAAGAAGTGGAAAACAAACTAAAAAATGTTAGCGTAACTTTCATGACATCAACACAGTGAGTCATATATGAGTCACAATAATAGTAACTACCTAAAAAATTACGTACTCACTGTGGGATGGATTAATTCAGGTGGCTCCCTCCAAATGACTCCCTCTGATAAATGGATACATGGAGGTGACCTTGGGTAACCTTGGATGTGCCAACTCTGACTTCAGGCAAGCAATGCCTTACAATTCTAGGAGCCAATTCTCCATCACCCTAGCAGTCCTGAGCAGGATGGACTGGCTGTGGCACCCACTGAAGACTCTTAGAATCACACAGTCAGAGGTGGAAAGGGCCCCTGGAAGTAAACTTACCCAACCTCTCCGTTTTAGCACTGTAGAGACTGAGGCCTAGAGAAGAAAGGGGACTCGCCCTGGATCATCCAGTGGTTGGTAGCAGTTATGAGATCACAGCCTAGATTTTTTGGTTCCAGTCCTGATTTCTTTCTCTAGAGTCCATTTTCCTCTTGTAGCAGCAGTCCCCAAGGATGCCTACAGCGCAGGGGCAATGCCACGATTTCAGAGGGAAAGGCAGTTGGCTCTTGTGAGTCTGCAGCATTCCTGCTCTTTGTAAATTGCTATCTAAACATTTTGGGGAATGGAATGATAGCCAATATTTGAGGACTCGCTGTTGCCAGGAACTGTTCTCAAACTCATTTAGTTCTCACAAAAACCCTATGAGGTTGTGATTACTATGACCACCTTTTTACCGAAAAGCAATCCGGGCACAGAGAGGTTATGTAACTTGCCCAAAGTTGCATAGGAGGTAACTGGCAGAGCTGGAGTTCAAATCCCATGAATTTGGCTCTAGAGCTCATGCCCTTTGGCACGAGGCTATTACTAATTGTAAATCTGCCCACCAACCACGCTTTTCCTCTTTGTGCTTAAGCTGTTCCTGGTGGGGTCCTTTGCTTGTGCTGTGCTCCAGCCTGGAACCCTTCTACGTACTCCTAATTAGCCTTTAGGACCCATAGCAAGTCCAACCTCTTTCAAGAAGTCTTCCTGGATTCCCTCCTGGTTGTAAGGCAATCATTTTTGCTCCTGGATCCTTGCAGTAATCCCCATTTATCGCTTTCCTAGCCCCCACTGCAGCAGAGGTTACTTTACATGCAGGGGAATGACAGCCTAACACAGTGGCATGAGTAGTGGGTTAGAAAAAGAAGGCCTGGGTTCTAGTCTCCGTTGTGCCACCAGCTTGCCTAGTGACCTTGAAAAGTCTGTCTAGTCACCTGAGCTTTTGAATCTGTACGAAGCAGTGTTGGCTATTCTGCAATCCCCTGGGAAGTTGTTGATCCAGGCAAGGTTTGTCAGGGTATGCTAAACATTGGGTCAGAAGGTGCTGAGGAGCAGCGTCTGTGGGCTTTAATCTATCACCCCACAGACTGCTTGCTGTTTGCAAAAGGAAAGCATACCTTTCCTCTGGAGGGATCTGGGGTCACCATCTTAACCAAGAGGTCAACACGAGCATCGTTAACTGAAGGACAACCTGAAATTATGGGCCTCTTGATGTGATGCAATATGAAATACACACTACCAAGTAGGAGGTTTTCTCTTTCTTTCTTTTTTTTTTTGGTGAGGAAGATTGGCTCTGAGCTAACATCTGTGCTGATCTCCCTTCACTTTGTATATGGGACACTGCCGCAGCATGGCTTGATAAGTGGTGTGTAGGGCCGCACCCAGGATCTGAAACTGTGAACCCCAGGCCACTGAAACGGAACATGCAAACTTGACCACTATGTCACCGGGCCAGCCCCTTCTCTTTCTTTTCTAACAGCTTTATTGAGATTCAGTTCACATGCCATATAATTCACCCATTTAAAGTATACAATTCAATGGTTTTGTTATATTCACAGAGTTGTACAGCCATCACCAGACTCTAATTTTAGAACATTTTCATCACTCAAAAAAGAAGCTCTGTACCCATTAGCAGTCACTCACTTATCCTCCTCCCCTGCTCTCAGCCCTAGGGAACCCCTAATCTGCTATATGTTTCTATAGATTTGTTTATTCTGGACATTTCATATAAACAGAATCATATAATACGTGGTCTTTTGGGACTGACTTCTTTCACCAAGGTTCATCGGCATATCAGTATTTCATTCCTGTTTATGGCCTAATAACATCCCATGGTATGGAATGGAATGCACCACGTTTTATCTATCAGTTGATGGACACTTGGGTTTTTTACACTTATTGGCTACTATGAATAATACTGCTATGAACTCTCATGTACAAGTTTTTGTGTGGACGTCTTTTCTCATTTCTCCCTTGAGTGTATACCTCGGAGTAGAATTGCTGGATCACGTGGTAACTCTATGTTTATATATGCACATTTTCTTTATTTTGAATGAATTAAAGATTTTTCTCCTTCATTCTGTTAATATTGTGTATTATTACAAATTTTTAAGACTTTGTGTTTATTTATTTTTTCCATAGTTTTATTGAGATCATAATGGTTTATAACATTGTGTAATTTCGGGTGTATGTTGTTATTTATCAATTTCTGAATAGACTTCATCATGCTCACTACCAGTAGTCTAATTGTTGTCTGTCACTGTACATATGTGCTCCTTTACTGCTTTCACCCACTCCCAGCCCCCTTCCTCTCTGGTAACCACTAATCTGTTCTCTTTATCCATGTATTTGTTTATCTTCCACATATGAGTGCAGTCGTACAGTATTTGTCTTTCTCTGTCTGGCTTATTTCGCTTAACATCATACCCTCAAGGACCATCCATGTTGTCACAAATGGGATGATTTTTGTCTTTTTTTTATGGCTGAGTAGTATTCCATTATATATATATATATATACCACATCTTCTTTATCTGCTCATCCATAGAAGGGCACTTGTGTTGTTTCCACATGTTGGCTATTGTGAATAATGCTGCAATGAACATAGGGGTGCATAAATCTCTTTGGATCATTTATTTCAAGTTCTTTGGATAAATGCCCAGTAGTAGGATAGCGGTATTGTATGGAATTTCTATTTTTAATATTTTGAGAAATCTCCATACTGTTTTCCACAGAGGGTGCACCAGTTTGCATTCCCACCAGCAGTGCATAAGGGTTCCCTTTTCTCCACATCTTCTCCAACATTTGCTGTTTTTTGTCTTGGTAATTATAGCCATTCTGACTGGTGTAAGGTGATATCTCATGGTAGTTTTGATTTGCATTTCCTTAACAATTAGTGATGTTGAACATTTTCTCATGTGTCTTTTGGCCATCTGTATATCTTCTTCGGAAAAATGTCTGTTCAGATCCTCTGTTCATTTTTTGATTGAGTTGTTTGTTTTTTTGTTGTTGAGTTGTATGAGTTCTTTATATGTTTTGGAAATTAACCCTTTGTCAGATATATGATTTGCAAATATTTTCTCCCAGTTGATGGGTTGTCTTTTCGTTTTGTTCCTGGTTTCCTTTGCCTTGCAGAATCTCTTCAGTCTGATGTAGTCCCATTTGTTAATTTTTTCTTTTGTTTCCCTTGCCCAAGTAGACATGGTATTTGAAAAAATGTTGCTAAGACCAATGTCAAAGAGTGCACTGCCTATATTTTCTTCTAGGAGTTTTGTAGTTTCAGCTCTTAAATTCAAGTCTTTAATCCATTTTGAGTTAATTTTTGTGTATGGTGCAAGATAATGGTCTACTTTCATTCTTTTGCATGTGGTTGTCCAGTTTTCCCAACACCATTTATTGAAGAGACATTCCTTTCTCCATGGTATGCTCTTGGCTCCTTTGTTGAAGATCAACTGTCCATAGATGTGTGGTTTTATTTCTGGGCTTTCAATTCTGTTCCATTGATCTGTGTGTCTGTTTTTGTGCCAGTACCATGCTGTTTTGATTACTATTGCTTTGTAGTATATTTTGAAGTCAGGGATTGTGATACCTCCAGCTTTGTTCTTTTTTCTCAGGATTGCTTTGGCTATTCGCCGTCTTTTGTTGTTCTATATAAGTTTTAGGCTTCCTTATTCTATCTTCAGGAGGAATATCATTGGGATTTTGATTGGGATTGCATTGAATCTGTAGATTGCTTTGGGTAGTATGGACATCTAACTATGTTTATTCTTCCAACCAATGAGCATGGAATATCTTTCCATTTCTTTATGTCTTCTTCAATTTTTTTCAATAATCTCTTATTGTTTTCAGTGTATAGGTCTTTCACCTCTTTGGCTAAGTTTATTCCTAGACATTTTATTCTTTTCATTGCGATTGTATTGTATTGATTGATTTGGGGTTATTGTAATGTATTGAATTGGGATTCTATTCTTGACTTCTCTTTCTGCTAGTTTGTTGTTAGTGTATAGAAATGCAACTGATTTTTATAAGTTGCTTTTGGACGCTATAACTTTGCTGTAGTTGTTGATTATTTCTAATAGTTTTCTGATGGATTCTTTTGGGTTTTCTATATATAGAATCATGTCATCTGCAAACAGTGAGAGTTTCACTCTTTACTTTCCAATCTGGATTCCTTTTATTTCTTTTTCTTGCCTAATTGCTCTGGCCAAAACCTCCAGTACTATGTTGAATAGGAGTGGTGAGACTTGGCACCCTTGTCTTTTTCCTGTTCTCAGAGGGATGGCTTTCAGTTTTTCCCCATTGAATATGATGCCTGAGGGTTTGTCATATATGGCCTTTATTATGTTGAGGTACTTTCCTTCTATACCCATTTTATTGAGACTTTTTTTTTAAACCACAAATGGATGTTGGATCTTGTCAAATGCTTTCTCTGCATCTATTGAGATGATCATGTGATTCTTATTCCCCATTTTTTTCTTTTTTTTGTGAGGAAGATCAGCCCTGAGCTAACATCTGCCAATCCTCCTTTTTTCTTTTTGCTGAGGAAGACTGGCCCTGGGCTAACACCCATGTCCATCTTCCTCCACTTTTATATGGGACACCACCACAGCATGGCTTGACAAGCGGCATGTAGGTGTGTGCCTGACGAACCCTGGGCTACTGCAGCGGAGCATGCGCACTTAACCACTTGTGCCACCCGGCCGGCCCCATTATTCCCCATTTTGTTAATGTGGAGTATCACATTATCAATAATAATTGATTTGCAGATGTTGAAAATCATTTATACTGCATCCCTGGTATAAATCCCACTCGATCGTGGTGTATGATCCTTTTAATGTATTGCTGTATTCAGTTTGCCAGTATTTTGTTGAGGATTTCTGCATCTATGTTCATCAGCGATATTGGTCCGTAATTTTCCTTCTTTGTGCTGACCTTATCTGGTTTTGGTATCAGGGTAAAGTTGGCCTCATAGATTAAGTATAATGCCTTCCATTTTCTTCAATTTTTGGAATAGTTTGAGGATAGGTATTCTTTTTTGAATGTTGGGTAAGTTTGTCCAGTGAAGCCATCTGGTCCTGGAATTTTGTTTTTTGGGAAATTTTTGATTACTGTTTCAATCTCTTTACTTGTAATACGTCTATTCAGATTCTCTATTTCTTCTTGATTATGTTTTGGGAGGTTGTACGAGTCTAAGAATTTATCCATTTCTTCTAGGTTATCCAATTTGTGGGCTATAGGTTTTCATAGTATTCTCTTATAATCCTTTGTATTTCTGTGGTATCTTGTAATTTCTCCTTTTTCATTTCTAATTTTATTTATTTGAGCCTTCTCTTTTTTTTTCTTGGTGAGTCTGGCTAAGGGTTTGTCAATTTTGTTTGCCTTCTCAAAGAACAAGCTCTTAGTTTCATTAATCCCCTCTACTGTCTTTTTAGTCTCTATTTAATTTATTTCTGCTCTAATTTTTATTATTTCCCTCCTTCTGCTGACTTTGGGCTTTGTTTGTTCTTCTTTTTCTAGTTCTGTTAGGTGCAGTTTAAGATTACCTATTTGAGATTTTTCTTGTTTTTAGAGTTGGGCTGTATTGCTATGAATTTCCCTTTTATAATCACCTTTGCTTCATCCCATAAGGGTTGGTATGATGTATTTTCATTTTCATTTGTCTCTAAGTATTTTTTTAAATTTCTCCCTTGATTTCTTCATTGATCCAATGGTTGTTCAGTAGCATGTTGTTTAGTCTCCACGTATTTCTGACTTTCCCACTATTTTTCTTGTGGTTGATTTCTAGTTTCATAGGATTGTGGTTGGAAAAGATGCTTGAGATGATTTAAATCTTCTTAAATTTATTGAGGCTTGCTTTGTTTCCCAACATATGGTCTATCTTTGAGAACGATCTGTGTGAGCTTGAGAAGAATGTATATTCTGCTGTTTTTGGATGGAATGCTCTCTTTATATCTATTAAGTCCATCTGATCAAGTGTTTCATTTAAATCCACTATTTCCTTGTTGACTTTCTGTCTGGATGATCTGTCCATTGATGAAAGTGGCATGTTAAGATCCCCTACTATTATTGTGTTATTGTTAATGTCTCCTTTTAGGTTTGTTGATAGTTGCTCTATGTACCTTGGTGCTCCTGTGTTGGGTGCATATATATTTAAAAGTGATATGTCTTCTTGGTGGAGTGTCCCTTTTATCATTATATATTGCCCCTCTTCATCTCTTATTACCTGTTTTATCTTGAAGTCTGCTTTGTCTGATATAAGTATGGCAATACTTGCTTTCTTTTGTTTGCCGTTAGCTTGGAGTACTGTCTTTCATCCCTTCACTCTGAGCCTATGCTCATCTTTAGAGCTGAGATGTGTTTCCTGGAGGCAGCATATTGTTGGATCTTGTTTTTTAATCCATTCAGCTACTCTGTGTCTTTTGATTGGAGAATTCAATCCATTTACATTTAGAGTGATTATTGATATATGAGGGCTTAATTCTGCCATTTTATCTCCTGTTTTCCAGTTGTTCTAGGATTCCATTGTTTCTCTTCCTTTGTATTTCTGACTGCCCATTCATTTTGGTAGTTTTTTATTGAGGTTTTCTCAGTTTTCTCTTTTTTTTATGAATTGTGGCTCTGCTCTGATTTTTTGTTTAGCAGTTACCGTAAGGTTTGTATAAAAGATTTTGTGGATGAAATAGTCCATTTCCTCATAGCTGCCATCTCCATTAGCCTAAGCAGGTTCCACCCCATTCCTCTTCCTCTTCTGAGTTATTGTTGTCACAAAATTTTCCATTTTGTGTTATGAGTTTGTGGTTAAGTTGAAGTGTTATAGTTACTTTTGATGCTTTCCTTCCCTTTATCTTTTAAGTTATAATTGAGTATTTGCTTCCCTATTCTGATAGAGAGCTGCAGTTTTCTGATTTTGTCTATCTATTTATCTCCTTGCTCAAAACTTTGTAGACCTTTGCCTTTTTGTTTCTTTTTTTTTTTTGAAGGACAAATATTTTATTAATGTGGACCACAGAAATATCAATAAAAAAAGCACTCTTTTTGTAGACAAATGCCTTTTTGTTTCTGATGTGAGGGCATCTTTAATCATTTTTTGTAGGGGAGGTCTAGTGGTGATTAACTCCCTCAGTTTTTGTTTATCTGGAAAAGCTTTTATTTCTCCACCATATGTGAAGGAAAGTTTCACTGGATAGAGTATTCTTGGCTGAAAGTTTTTGTCTTTCAGTATTTTGACTATATCATTCCATTCTTTTCTAGCCTGTAAGGTTTCTGCTGAGAAATCCACTGAAAGCTTGATAGGGGTTCCTTTGTAGGTTATTTTCTTCTGCCTTGCTGCCCTTAATATTTTTTCTTTGCTGTTGACTTTTGTCAGTTTTACTATTGTATGCCTTCGAGAAAGTCTTTTAGCATTGGTGTAATTAGGTGTAATTAGGCATTCTATTAGCTTCATGTATTTTTAAATCTTGTTCCTTCTCCAGATTTGGGAAGTTCTCAGCTATTATTTCTTTGAACAAGCTCTCTGCTCCTTTCTCCCTCTGGAATACCTATAATCCTTATGTTGCTTTTCCTAATTGAGTCAGATATTTCTCAAAGAATTCCTTCATTTTTTAAAAATCTTAGTTTTCTCTCTTCCTCCACTATAGCATTTCTATATTTCTATCCTCTAACTTACTAATTCTTTCCTCCATACCATCAGCTCTATTTTTTTAAGGATTCTAGATTATTTTTTATGTCATTAGTTGTGTTCTTCATATCCAGAATTTCTGCTTTTTTTTTTTTTAGTAGTTTCAATATCTTTGGTGAAGTATTCCTCCTTCTCGTTAATCTTATTCCTGAGCTTATTGAACTGTCTTTCTGAGTTTTTTTGTAACTCATTGAGTTTCTTTATGACAGGTATTTTGAATTCCCTGTCATTTTGACCATAAATTTCTGTGCCTTCAGGGTTGGTTTCTGGAGAATTGTCATTTTCCTTCTGGTCTGAATTGTTGCTGTAGTTTCTTATGGTGTTTGATGAACTAATCTTTGTCGATGCATTTGTGGTAACATTAGGTCACAGATTCCACCACCAGCTATCACTAGGGGGAAGCAGGAGCTGAGTTTCTGAACCCATCCTGTCTTCTGGAAGTTGTGGAGGTATATGGGTGCTTGCGCCAGCCTGGAGAGCGTATGCACGAGTGTGTAGACTGTGTTTGGTCGGCAGGCTTCCTCCTGGGGACAGAGCCAGGGCCACTCCTTGGGGCTGCAGGGGTATGGTGGGCTCCCCCACCACCAGGAAAGTGACACATGTGGGCTAAGGTCTGCTGCCACCTCTTCCTGCTGTTGCTCTGGAGTGAATTCCTACTTTTGAGGTGCAGTGGTACTATGGGTGCTTGCACCAGGCTGGAAAGCATTCATGCACATGCACAGGGCTGCCGGGGAAGGGCAGGGAGTGCTCACTTATCTCTACCACTTCCCAGAGGGCCAGTCAATCCAGTTTCAGATCTATAGCTGCATGGGTTTCTCAGTCCTGTTGTGGTGTGTGGGTTTCCTCTGTTGGTCAATGAGTGTCCATTTAGTTGTAGTTCAAAGGGGGAGAGACAAAGGGAACAGCTGACTCTGCCTTGTTGCTGATGTTGCTTGCTAAAATCCAAGACTTTATTTTTTTAGAGCAGTTTTAGTTTCACAATAAAATTAAGAGGGAAGTACAGAGATTTCTCATATATCCATTGTCCCCCAACATGTCTAGTTCCCCTATTATCGATATCCTCATCAGAGCAGTACATTTGTTACAATTGATGAACCTACATTGACATATCGTTATCAACCAAAGTCCATAGTTTACATTAGGGTTCACTCTTGGTTTGTACATTCTATGGGTTTGGACAAATGTATATTGACCTATACACATCATTATGGTGTCATACAGAGTAATTTTACTGCCCTAAAAACCCTCTGTTCTCCACCTATTCACCCCTCTCTCCCACCCCAATCCCTGAAACCACTGGTTTTTTTCCGTTTCCATAGTTTTGCCTTTTCTAGAATGTCATATTGTTGGAATCATATAGTATATAACCTTTTTGATTTACTTCTTTTACTTGTAATATCCATTTAAAGCTCCCCCATGTCTTTTCATGGCTTGATAGCTCATTCCTTTTTGGTGCTGAATAATATTCAATTGTCTGGATTTACCAGTTTATTTATACATTCACCTACTGAAGGACGTCTTGGTTGCTTCCAAGTTTTGACAATTATAATTAAAGCTGCAATAGATACCCATTTGCAGGTTTTTGAGTGGACATAAGTTTTCAACTCCTTTGGGTAAACTTCAAGGAGCACAATTGCTGGATAGTATGTTAAAAGTATGTTTAATTTTGTAAGAAACTGCCAAATTGTCTTACAAAGCGGCTGTGCCATTTTCTATTCCCACCATCCATGGATGAGAGTTCCTGTTTCTCCACATCCTTGCCAACATTTGGTGTTGTCAGTGTTGTGGATTTTAGCTAATCTAATAGGTGTGTGGTGGTATCTCATTGTTGTTTTAATTTGCATTTACCTGATGACACATGATGTGGAGCATCTTTTCATATGCTTATTTGCCTCCTGCATATCTCCTTTGGTGAGGTGTCTACTAAGGACTTTGGCCCATTTTTATTGGGTTTTTCTTTTCTTATTGGTGAGTTTAAGAGTTCTTGGTGTATTTTGGATAAAAGGCCTTTATCATATGTGTCTTTTGCATATATATTCTCACAGTCTGTGGCTTGTCTTCTCATTCTTTTGACATTGTCTTTTGTAGAGCAGAAGTTTTAAATTTTAATGAAGTATAGCTTATCAAGTGTTTCTTTCACGGATCATGCCTTCAGTGTTGTATCTAAAAAAGCATCATGATACCCAAGGTCATCTAAGTTCTCTCCTGTGTTATCTTCAAGAAGTTTTATAGCTTTGCATTTTACATTTAGGTCTATGACTTGTTTTGAGTTAATGTTTTGATGAGTGTAAGGTCTGTATATAGATTCATTTTTTTTGCATGTGGATGTCCAGTTGTTCCAGTCCCAATTGTTGAACAGACTATCTTTGCTCTATTGTATTGCCTTTGCTCCTTTGTCAAATATAGTTGACTATATTTATGGGGGTTTATTTCTGTTCTCTATTCTGTTCCATCGATTTATTTTTCTATTCTTTCACCAATACTACACTACCTTGGTTATTGGAGCTTTATAGTTTGTCTTGAAGTCAAGTAACATCAGTCCTCCAACTTTGTTCTTCTCCTTCAATGTTGTGTTGACTATTCTGGGTCTTTTGCCTCTCCACATAAACTTTAGAATCAGTTTGTTGATAGTGACAAAATAACTTGCTGCGATTTTGATTGGGACTGCATTGAATCTATAGATCAATTTGGGAAGAACTGACATCTTGACAATATTGAGTCTTCCTATTCATGAATGTGGACTGTCTCTCTACTTCTTTAGTTCTTCTTCGGTTTCATTCATCAGAGTTTTGTAGTTCCTCATATAGATCTTACATATATTTTGTTAGATTTATAACTAAGTATTTTGTTTTGGGGGTACTAACGTAAATGGTATTGTGATTTTAATTTCAAATTCCACTTGTTCAGTATTGGTATTCAGAAAAGCAATGGACTTTTGTGTGTTAACTTTGTATCCTGCACCCTTGCTATAATTGCTTATTAGTTCTGGTTTTTTTTTTGTCAATTCTTTTGGATTTTCTACATGGATGACCACGTCATTTGTGAACAAAGACAGTTTTATTTTTTTCTTCCGAATCTGTATACTTTTAATTTCCTTGTCTTGTCTTATTACACTAGCTAGGACTTCCAGTAAGATGTTGAAAAGGAGTAGTGAGAGGGGACACCCTTGCCTTCTTCCTAGTATGTTTAATATTTTGAGGAACTGCCAGATTGTTTTTCAAAGTGGCTGCACCATCTTACATTCCCAACACCAATGTATGAAAGTATGAAGTTTTCTTGTCAAACACGTTTAATTAAGCCTTTAGGCCTTTTAGTTTACAGGAAACATTGACAGAGAAAAAAGTTACCGTACATCATGAGGAAGCAATTGGAAAAATCATAAAATCAGAAAGTAAGATATTCTATTACTTGCCTGATCTATTCAAAAAGTCAGTGAGCCAATGTCCTGAGAAAAAGAGGGGTGGTGATTAAAAGATACTAAAAAAAAAAAATAACAACAAAATTTGATGTGTAAACTTTAATTGGATACTGATTAGAACAAAGCAAAATAGCTCTAAAGGACATTTCTGGGAGAAGTTAGGATATCTGAATATGCATTGGACTTTAGATGGTATTAAGGCTTAGTTATTTAGGGGCTTTAAGTGTTCTGATACCTGCAACATACTTTCAAGTTGTTCAACAATCTCTCTCTCTCTCTCTCTCTCTCACACACACACACACACACACACACAGACACACACACACACACACAGTGATAAAGCAAGTGATGGCAGACATTAATTTTTTAAATAGAGGTTATGAATATATGAGTGCTCCAGATATATTACTACTTCAGCTTTTGTGACTGTTGACATTTTTCATAACAAAATTTTGGGAAAAAAGGAGATTACAAGTACTGTGATTTATAATTTTAGCTTTTCTCCTCAATTACACTGCAAACCTGAAGGTCTAGGTACCCATTTTGTACCTGTCTATCCCCTGTACCAGGCCCATTTCCCAGCTCTTCCAAGGTTTCTGATTATAATGCCTCAATACAGATGTCCAGTCATTAATCAGGAGGCAGTAGAGAAGCTCCCACAGACCGGCAATTCCAAAAGTGTCACTGGAGTGGAAGGACACACTGACATCCTTCACTCTTTATAGCCCTGGCTTGGAAAATGAGTGGGTGGTAATTGCAGTCATGTTCCCAACGCCTGCCAGGAAAAACAAACTTTTCTAACTTCGCTCCCAGAACAGTTAAAGCAAAAGAAAACAGAAATCCACCAGTATCCCAATGAGCATCACTCACGCTGATTGCTGTTCTGGCCCAAGATGAAGCAAGTCAGATAAGTAAAATCCTGAAACAAAACCTAACCCCTGGGGTACTGAACTCTTATAACCCTAAAAGATGGAGATTTTGGGAAAGCTTCTTGGCAGATATGCACCATTCCACCACATAGGGGGCATTTCCAAGACTAGCCCTGGTGGAGTGTGAGTTCCTGGGGATTTTACAGAAACATCAGGGGCACCTGGGCCAACCAAGAGCAATCCTAATCCAACGTTATTGTCAGCCTTCCACTCTCCCCCCAACCTCTACTGCCAGGAGATGGAAATGAATTTTCTTCTGCCAGTACAGCTTTCTTCATTTCAAAACACAAGGTGAGTCACTTTTTCCCTACAGTATTGGCTTTAGGATTATGGATGAGTGCTAGAAATATAACGTGTACCTCAGGAGAAATGGAAAATTGCGTGCTTGAACTAGATAAGTCTATGAGGCCATTCCTCATTCAAAGAGCACATCTCAAATCTCTTAGAGACTCCTAATTTCAAATATTTTGCCTTGTTATTCCCA